CAGAACTGAAGTCCGTTGATTTCGGCATGTGTGAAAGTTGCATCATGGGGAAGCAGAAGAATGTCAGATTCCTGAAAGGAGTCAGGGTGCCAAAGGCAGAAAAACTAGAACTGGGCCTTCCCCAGTGGCATCTCTTGGAGGCTCTCGCTATTACGTCACATTCATAGATGACCACAGCAGAAAAGTATGAGTTTACTTTCTGAAGCATAAATCTGATGTATTTTTTGTGTTCAAAACTTGGAAGGTCATGGTTGAAACGGAGACAGATCTAAAACTGAAATGTTTGATATCTGACAATGGTGGTACATTGATGATGGGTTCAAGGAGTACTGTGCAGCTCAAGGTATCAGAATGAAGAAAACCATTCCGGGGACACCACAAAAAAATGGAGTTCAGAACGCATGAACAGGACCATCAATGAGCGTGCTAGGAGCATGAGATTGCACGCAGGACTACCACCAACCTTCTGGGCAGATGCGGTCAACACTGCAGTTTACCTGATCAACAGAGGGTCATCTGTCCCATTAGACTGTAAATTACCTGAGGAGGTCTGGAGTATGAATTACCTGAGGAATTCTGGAGCGGCAAAGAGGCCAAACTTTCTAATGTTAAAACTTTTGGTTGTTTTTCTTATGTTCTAAACAATCTTGATGCTCGTAACAAACTTGAGGCTAAATGAAAGAAATGTTATTTTATTGGCTTTGGTGACGAAACATTTGGTTATCGTTTCTGGGATGATCATGATCGGAAGATTATCAGAAACAAAAATGTGATTTTTAATGAAAAGATGATTTACAAGGACAAGACCAATACAAATTCTGGAGCAGCTCCTCAGGAGTCAGAGTTCGTGGAGTTCGACGATCTACCAGAGGACAGAGCATGACGGAGATGGGAATGAGGAGGAGAATGTGTCTGGGGCACCCATTCCTATTATTCCGCAGGCAGGTCCAGAGTCATTCACTACTCCAGCCGCCGTTTGGAGATCAATCAGGAGCAGACATTCGCCGCAGCGTTACTCACTAACTTTAAATTACATATTGCTGACAGATAGTGGAGAACCACAAAGCTATGAAAAAACCTTAGCAGATGAAAATTCTAGCAAGTGGGAGCTGGCCATGAAGGAGGAGATGGATTCCCTGCTGAGAAATCAGACACGGGATCTAACAGAACTTCCCCCAGGGAAGAAGACATTGCACAATAAGTGGGTGTACCTGGTAAAGACTAAGTCTGATGACAATAAAAAATACAGGGCCAGACTTGTTGCAAAAGGCTTTCAACAGAAGCAATGAATTGATTACTCTGAGATCTTTTCTCTTGTGGTAAAACTCACAACCATCAGGATGGTCCTGTCTATGGTTGCTACCAAAGATCTATTCCTGGAGCAATTAGATGTGAAGACAATTTTTCTTCATGGAGACCTTAAAGAAGACATCTATATGCACCAGCTTGAAGAGTTTGTGGTACAAGGAAAAGAAAATTCAGTTTGTAGACTGAAGAAAAACTTGTATGGTCTAAAACAAGCTCCTAGACAATGGTACAAGAAGTTTGATAATTTCATGCAAAATGTCGGATACAGTAGATGTCAGGCAGATCACTATTGCTATGTCAGGTACTTTGACCATTCCTATATCATCTTGTTGTTGTATGTGGATGATATGCTTATTGCAGAGACCAACATTTATGAGATCAATTCTGAAGAAGCAGATGTCAAAGTATTTTGCAATGAAGGATTTGAGAGCGACAAAACAAATCCTTGGCATGAGGATTATTAGAGATCGAGTCAAAGGCACCTTGAGACTTTCACAAGCTGAATATGTGAAAAATGTGCTTAGTATGTTTAATATGAACAAGGCCAAGCCAGTTGACACACCTTTAGGCAGTCACTTCAGACTCAACAAAAATCAATCACCCAAGTCAGAGGAGGAACAAGACTACATGAGTAAGGTTCCTTACGCTTCAGCTATTGATTCACTTATGTATGCTATGGTCTGTACCAGACCAGATATTGCTCATGCAGTTGGAGTTGTGAGCAGATACATGAGTAATCCAGTGAAGGAACATTAGGAAACTGTGAAGTGGATTTTAAGATACCTAAAAGGCTCTTCAGAAATCTGTTTGTGTTTCTCAGGAAAGAATCTAGAGGTACAAGGTTTTGTTGATGCAGATTTAGCTGGAGACATTGACAATAGGAAGAGTACTACAAGTTATGTTTATACTCTTGATGGTCTTGCAGTGTCATGGGGCTCTAATCTACAGAAGACAGTTCTTTTGTCCACTACAAAGGTTGAGTATGTTACAGTGTCAGAGGCTGCTAAGGAGATGATATGGCTGCAGAGTTTCTTAGCGGAATTGGGTAAGGAGGTTCAGAAAGGCACTCTCTACAGTGATAGCCAGAGCGTCATATTCCTAGCTAGAAATCCAGCATTTCAATCCAGGACTAAGCACATTCAGATCAAGTATCATTTTATTCGATCATTGTTAGATGACGGACAGTTGCTACTTGAGAAAATTTGTGGAAACAAGAACTCTGCTGATATGTTGACCAAGGGTGTTACACTTGATAAACTGAAGTTGTGTGCAGCTTCAGTTGGTCTTCTGACATGAAGACTAGAGCTTTGAGTTGCAGAGGTAGATGATATCACTTTTGAGGAAAAGGTCGGTACAACCAGCGAATGGTGCAGCCAGTGGGTGATGTAGTCGGTGTCCCAGACTCCAAGTGAGAGATTTGTTGAGTAGGTGGAGCCCGGTCCACCTCCTGTTATGACAATTCTTCTTTATGGCAGATAATAAAAAATTAATGGCAAATTAATTTGATTCCTTTTGTGAAGCATCACATGGATTCCTCTCTACCTATGTATCCCGCTAAAGCTTCCCTCCTCTGTTTCCTAAATTAGGCTTTTTAGCTTATTATAAATTGCAAAGCCAAAAGGCGTGCTAGAAATACACCATCCCAAAACTCCTCCTCGGCTGTAGCGTTCAAGGGAAAGGGAAAAGAAAACTGCTTTGTTTTTTTTCTTCCTTTTGGGTTTGTTAAAAGGGAAAAGAAAATTTCTTTTGGTGGCTTTAGAGAGAGAGAGGGGGAAGAGAGAGATGAAAGGGAGAGAAGAAAAAAACTAGAAAGAATTATTTTCATGTAAAGCGTCGAGGTGCTCGACGGTGTTATTCCTCAAGTTAATAAAATCCTTTGCAGCTCCATGGACGTAGACAATTTGCTGAACCACGTAAACCTTGTGTCGCCTTTTTCTGGTGTAATTTTCTCAATCTGTTTTTCGCTTTACTACCGTTGAATTTTTTCACAACAAAAGAGACATCACTCACTTTGCCCAGTTGGAGAATTCATTGATCCTAACGACAATATTCCTTTGAAAGTAAAAGGAAAGAGTTTGGCCTCAAGTAATAAGAAAATTTCTTCTTTGGCTGAAGCATACGAAAGTATTCCCAGGTGGCTTACGGTGAAGCTAAAGGAAACAATAACCTGATTTTCTCCCTTGGAATTCCTTTATGTTCTTCCTCTTGGTGTTTCTCTCGGTTTAGAGAGAGAAGGTGATAAGGTGAGGAGAGAGAGAGAGGGAGAGTTCTTGTAAACGTCGAGGTGTTCAATGGTGTAATCTTCAAGCTAATAAGATCTTCTGCAACTCTGTGGACGTAGGCAATTTGCCGAACCATGTAAATTTGTGTGTTTCCTTTGTGTTTTCAGTTTTGCAAATTTTTCTAGATCCGATTTTTCGCTTTATCGCCGTCACTTTTCACAACAGTTACAATAATGATAAAGTGGGAGAAAGTTATTCCATGTCTATAGATTGACCAAGCAGTAATATGAAGGGACTGTTCATTGAACGGCAGCACATATCCATTGAACTATCAGACGTTATAGAGCCGACCCCACACCTCAACTGTTTTATTATTATTTTTTTTTTTGTGATGAAGAACCACTAAATGCATTTCAGATTGGTATTAGATGATAATGAGAGAGCAATTCGAGGTTCCATATTAGCCTAACAATAATAAATTAATAGTTTAATAAGTCTAATTTTAAAGCCATTTCTCAACTAAATTGTTTTTGGTGAGATGTTTTTCATGTTTTCATCTTTAAAAAAGTATTGAAGTTGAAATCCATAAAAACAATTTTTTTTTTTAAAGCCAATGCAACCCATTGTTCTACGAAAGCTATTTTTAACTTTCATAAAGTTGAATTTTGTGTCATTACAACTAGTATACTTCTTTCCAAATACTTAAAATTTGATTATGTTTCCTCGACTAGAATAAACATTATGTAACAAGCATTACAAAGTAGATCCTTTATGACAAAATATATCCAGATAGGTTTAAAAACTCACAACAAACACTTCAAATATGATTAATCTCAAAGCAAATCCAATTGTTTCAATCCCATCTTGACAGATTGTATTAGAATACCCATACACAATTTTTATCCTTTATCATACATAATCAAAAATATAAAATTTTCACAGAAAACCTGTAAATTTGCTAATAAAATGGCCACTATATGCATGTCGAAATGAAAAAAGTAAAATAACAACCTTGGATACTTACGTGCTGAAGATAGGCTATGTACTGTGACGCACCTTGTATGAATTGCGTTCCACCTCCAGGAAATTTAAGGTACTCTCCATCTACCTTCAACCAATTTTGATGCCCTTTCACCTCAGCAAGTTTACTATGAGGGACATTGTTGTACCATATCTATTAAATAAAACCAATCTAAATTGAACTCTATGAACCAGTAAAAGAACTAAGAGATAAAAAAACATGAAGATTGTAATTCTATCCACCATAACTACCTTATCCCTGCTGGCCGGCCACTCAACCGATCTCTTATATCCCTTGGGAAGGGGCACAAGACAGGTGGGACTCTCCTCTGGGCAATGGCGCTCTCTATGCTGATAATGCTTGAAATCATGTACCTTCTTGAGAGCCTTTTCATTGTCAAGGCAAGGTATGTAGTCAGCACCAGCAGTGACATTGCAGAGCTCCCACTCATACCCAATTAGGTTTTCCTCAGCGCCACGATTGCCTTGGCTGATTCCAGCTTGCTGCTGCTGCTCCTTCTGCTTCTTCCCCTCCTCGTTCAGTGAGTGAACGTCCTGGGTCTCCCATGGCATATTTTCACCGCTCTGGCTTAGTTCTTCCAGCCAATTATCGTCCCTTCTGGTAGAATGGGTTTCATTAGCTCCCACCTGTAACCCTGGCTGGATTTCGATTCCTGTGTCAACATCCTCAATCTGCTGTTGCTCGGTATCAGGTTGGCCATAATTGCAATTTTTCTTTTCCGTCTGTTCGTGTATCTGTTCCTCATTCTGCTTCTTCTCCTCTTCCTCACCTCGGCCATCTGTGGAATCCTGGCATTGTTCAGTTTCAGGGGCGAATTTACCCTCAGGTTGCTCGGTTTCCTCATCAGACTCTCTATCGTCCACGTGAGATTGCTTTTGCTCGCCGCTCTCTTCAACAGTTCCTTCGGTGTCATGCTCAATCTGCTCCTGACTCTCAATGCCGCTGCTGGCTTCTTTATCCCCCTGATTATGGGTTTCCCCCTCCTCATTCTGCTGCTCCTGCTGACTTTCAGAAGAATCTTCTTCAGAAATTCCAGATTCAGATTGCATGGCAGACTCATCTAGGGCAGACTTTAGCTCTTTGAGATCGAACCCGGAGGCTCGGCGGTCCGAGGAGAGCGATACATGGGAGCGACGGTAGGCGGCGTTCGAGGAGGAGGGGGAAGGGGAAGAGGTGAGAATGTAGATTCCCAGAGAGCAGAAAGCGATGAAGATGAGTGTTATGATGATGGAAGACCATGCGAAGGAGGACGACCCTCGCTTGCCCCCGCGGGAGTTCTTGCTCAAAGCACCCATTTTTCTTCTCTCCTTCTTCGGGTGGTTCGGATTGGAGGAGAATATGGTGGTGATTCAGCTTTCTGAAGATTGGATCATGGAGATTTGAAATGGTTGTGAGAGGCAGCGAGAGCGAGGGAGAGGGATCCAATATTTCGCCTGAAAGGCCACACGGGTGGAGTGGCGGGGAAGGTGGACAGACTCACCGACGTTTATAAGCCATTTTGCATGCAAACCGCACAATTCCGATGTCATTATATATCAATATAACTAAATTTTACCTTTTTGCATCCTACCACTAAACCCTATATTTGAATAAAAATGAATTGTAAATAAATAAAATCACAAGATTAAAAATGATTATGGTTTAATAAATAAATCTCTTTTTCTCTAATAAAAATTATAATTCTATTAATAAAAGCAATATTATAATTACTATGAATAAATGTTGGACACGACTTGTGTGAATAAAACAATAACAACAATAACAAGCCTTCATCTCACTAGGTTGGGTCAGCCAAATGATTTTTTTTTCATTGTGTCCTATTCTAATAAATTAAGAACATTTTTTATATAATATGCCTAAGTTTTTCCAGATGTACTTCTGTCTTTCTTAACGTAAGTCGAATATAAAAATCTACTCTCCTAACTGGTTCATCAAATGATAGACGTTTAATGTGTCAAACCATCTAAGATGACTCTCTCTAATTATGTCCGTCATTGGAGCTACACCAACCCTATCACATATATTTTTATCTCAATGTGTACTGCCACTCATCCACCTACACATTTTCATCTCAGTAACACTTAATTTAGTTTTATGCTTCTCTTTTAAAGGCCAATATTCTACGTCATAGAACATTGCAGGTCTCATCACCATCTTATAAATCTTTTTTTTTAAAGTCTAAATTGTAGTTTTCTATCATATCATAGGCTCGAAACATTCCTCCACTTCAAACTTCAACTAGCCAACTTGAATTCAACTAATAACATCCCAATCTATATCATCATCACTTCAAACAATAGATCTGAGATATCTACAACGTTCAAACCTTTTAAATAGATTATTTTCATTATAAAAAAGAGTTATAATTTTATGAATTGAATTATTATTATTATTATGTCGGCCGATGGTTCCAAAAATCCATGTACTTCGTGCTCTTAACTCGTAATTTGTTTTCCACCGACAGTTTGTGACAAGAAGAAACACTTCAATTAATTTTTTTATTAGAAAATAAATTCTGATTAAAATGTTTAAGATATATCTTCAATTAATTATGTATATTTAAAGATTAACGTAATGCACCCTTATATTTAACATACCACATTGAGATTTATTAAAAAAGGAAGATTTACATATATACCGATTTTTAATTATTATGTATTTATATTTATTTATCAATCTAACACAAAAATTTTAATTTTTAATATATATATATATATATATATATATATAACAAATATTACATGCGGGCAGAGGTATGGTTGGAGTCCAATGAAATCAAGTTATGTGGAGGTGACAGAAAAATAAAAAAAAATTATTTTAGGTATGGTCGGAGTCCAATGAAATCAAACCACGTGGAGGTGATAGAAAAATAAAAAAAAAATTGTTTTAACGTTATTCAGGTGTTATTGTGGTGGTATTCATGTGTTATGTGTTATGGGAATATTTTCGGTGTTATAATAACACAATAACACATAAATACTACCGCAATAACATCTGAATAATACTAAGAGTATAGTTAAGAGTTGAAGTTATAGATAGATGATATACGACCATATGAATTTTAAGTTTATTTAAAATTAATATAATGTGTGCTCGGTTATTAAACTTTTGCATAAAAAATAATCATATTAAAAAATTAATTGGATTATAAATTGAGACTCAATTTAGGTTTAAGTTCTAATTTAAACCTAAAATAAATATAATTATTAGTTAATTTGGCTTGATGTCAATTTAAAATTGGATTGACTGAATTAATTTGTTTAATTAGAGCTCAAATTAAACAAATTGATGATTAGGAAAATGATAATGAAAGTAAAACAATGAGAAAATTATCTCTGAAATATTGAGCGATGAATAATAAATCTAAATATGAGTTTGTTGATTATAATACTAAGTGATTGATGGAACATAGCCACTACAGGAAAACAGAATATAAGCAACGACAATATCAACGGCCTAATTTGCATCGTAAATATTGGTTTAATTTTCTACGGTTTAGCGACGGATGCTTAATGTTTAAATTTTTCGACGATATTACTACTATCAGATCCATCGCTTTGTTTGAAAAAATTTTCCACCAGTTTATTTAGACCTTCCAATGTTGTTAACTGTCGGTTAATATCTAACTTAAAATTGAAGGGTACCTACCGTAACTAAGGCTTCATAACTTATCATGTATACCACAAAAATCCCCATTTTTTCCTATGCTCCGCGTCGCTCTACCTGGTTTCGTCCTAAATCACCCCCACCCCTCCCCTCTTGAGACACTTTTCCTCCTCGCTCGACAACGATCCACCGCTCCAGGGTCAGCCCATTGCTTCGACAGCACTCCTCCTCTTCCAATTCGCGGCTCATGGTTCGCAGCTCCGGTGCTAGGGCATCGCAGCTTACAGAGACCACCGAAACCATCACAGATATGGCGTCATACATGCAAAAAATGAAGTTTAGGTGTTAAATTTTTAAATACATAAGAATTGAGTAGTATGTATTCAAATATTTGTTTTGCTAGAGTGAATTTTTTTCTACACACAACACCCATATAATGAGAAGTGTGACAACACAACAACACATAATTCTTATGAAATCATGTTGTGTGTTGATAACCCCTAACTTTGCTTTGAGAAATTTTTTAATGAAAGCATCAAATGATACTTTTTAGTAATCATTATCAATATCACGTAGGCATCATCTTCATTACATATAAGAGAAAACTGTAAATAAATTCTTACACATCGTCACAATAATAAAATGCAACAGGAAAGTAAAATCATTTTGTTAGTGTAAATTCAAAGCATATTCTGCTAAGTTTAAGCAAACAAATGAGCTTACCAAAAATTCTCTTAAGAAACAAGTTTGAGTAATTTGATGTTTGATTCATTATGATCATGAAAATGAAATGGAAACTGATATAATACTGTGGGTTATTGTTTTTTTCTTTTCTCTGGAAATTCTTAATATCTTGGAACAAATTGAAGTAGTAATGTGGCTTGGAATTGGATTTGTTAGTACATTGATCTTATACTGAGTTGGGTTTTGAGCAATGAAAATTTCCAGCCATTATTAAAATTCAACCAATTTTTTGAATATATTATTATATATTCAAATTTTAGGATGGCAATTTAATTTTTTTTTCTTGTGGTAAGTTCTAAGCTCTGGTGAAGCTCTCGTGAAAGTAATTATGGCTCAGGCGAGATGTTATTCTCTTTTGGTGATGTGTATTCTATGAATATTTTGGTTAGTGCAATGTTTGTTGAGGTTTACTAGCATTCGATATACTCCCATCATATTAGATTGAATCTTTCATAGTGAATTTTGGTGTTTCTACTCTGATTTGGTTTGTTGTTTGAGCTAACTTGTTTTTTTATGGTTAATTTACTATTGATAAGCTCACATTTCTTCATTGATCTTCACTGGTTGTTGAGATTTATTTTTTGTGTTGTGATGAATTTTAGCCTTCAATAAAACTTAACCAATTTTGAATATGTTTTCCTGCTGGTAAGTTCTTAGCTCTAATTGGTTATCATTTCTGTCTTTATTTTGGTGGTTCGTTTGGTGGTTTTTCTTTTTCTTTTTTTGATTTTTGTTAGTTTGATTTATCTCTCTTTTTTTTTGTGCTCGTCTTGTTTGATTTGCTTTGCAGGTCTGTTGGTCTTTGAAGACTTCTTTTTTTTTCTTCTTTTGCCTTGAAGCTTTTACTGTTTGTTTATTTTCTCTTGTTTAAATGTGATCATTGTTGTGTTTGCTTAAATGTACAATCCCAAACTATTTGTTTAAAAAGATTTACATACATACCCCTAAATTTCTATGTATTTACATACCTAACACTTAAACTTTATATTTTAATACAACTTTTCAAGTACATGTAAGGTTGAATGTTTAAGAAAAATGTAAGTTTAGGTGTTAGATATGTAATTACATAAGTTTTGGGAGAAGAATTTCTTATATATATTTAAATCTTAAGCAAAAAAAGGATCCATGCATGACAGATTTGAAATTTAATAGGATTGATCCACCATTTGGTTTCGCATATAGGGTAGGTCTATGAATTTAGGGCTTCACGCTCGAAATTTAGGACATTTAAAGATTATGTTATAATGTGTTGCGTAGGGTATGCCTGTTAATTTAGCTCGAATAATGATAATTGCTTGAAAATTCATTTTGGATCGAATTTCTTTCGAACCAACCTTCAGTCGGATCGAAATCTGATCGTTTAACATCATATTGATGATAGGTATATTGAAGATTGTTAATTAGAGTAACATTGATTCAAAAACCAACTAAACATATAAATGAATTATGAATTAACGAATAGTCCAAATTCATAATTTGTTTTCATGATTTTTGGTTGGATTTAAGATAAATGTATTTTATTAAACTCATTTAGGCATCTCTTTCTAATATTGTATGCAACTGTAGCTACTCCAACACTTTCACTAATATATTTATTTCTTATTTTGTTTTCAATTGTAAAGCAAATCATAGAACTGAACATTCTCATCGTCGCAGCCCATAGCACGATTAATTGTTTAGCTTGAAATTTCTTCTTAAAAGAAGACATTTCATATGTTGTAAAAGTGTTTACTGTTTTCTTCATTGTTAAATTTAATTTTCATTGCCAAAATAGAAACTCGCTTCAAAATCTAATTTCCATTGTCAATTAGATTTTGAAGTGATTTTCCATTTGGGGAAGAAAATTAAATTTTGAAGCAAATTTTTATTTTGACAATGACAATTAGATTTCGCATTGGAGGATGCAGTGAAAACTCCTACATTATATGAGATATTCTCTTCTAAAAAAATACTTTATAGTGTGAAATTAATCACATATGGGGTTTGCGGAGACGAGAATGCTTAGATTTATGATTATTTTTCCACTTGGAAAATAAAATGCAAAAGAAATAAACTTGTGTAAGGTTTGGTGTAGTTATTGTAACAGACAAGATTAGATAAAAAAAAACTCAAAAAAAAAATTAGAACAATAATCGGTTTTCGATATC